CCTCTACAAGAATGAAAGGTAATGAGAAATACTTCTTTTACTACCAATATAGTGGAAAAAGGGTGAGCTTCTGAGCCAGCCCAATGCTCTATTTATGCTGAGAATTGCTTTGGGTGTTGGGATGTGCCCAAGGAAGGGTGACAGAGCTGGTGAAGGGGCTGGAGCACAAATCTTAGGAGGAGCAGCTGGAGTTGTTTAACCTGGAGAAAGGGGAGGCTCAGGGGGGACCTTATTGCTCCCTGACAGGAGGGTGTAGCAAGGTGGGGTTGAGATTTTCTGAGTAGAAAGAAAAAGAGGAAATGGCTTCAAGTTGCACCACAAAAAGTTAAATTTGATATAAGAAAAAAAAGCTGTCACAGCAAGGGTGGCTGATCACTGCAACAGGCTGCCCAGGGCAGTGGCTGAGTCACCTCCCCTGGAGGAGTTTAAAGATGTATGGGTGTGGCACCTGGGGACCTGCTTTAGTGCTGAGCTTGGCTGTGCTAACAGGAGCATATTCCTTTTCCATTATAAAGTGAAATATTTTCATTTTCCATTATGAACCACCAAAAATATTTTAAAAACCCAGCAAAAAAAAAAATTAAAAATATGAACAGTCCTCTATTTTCTGACATTTTTCCAGAGACCAAATTATTATTTTCTTCAACACCCTCTATTAATAATACCCTCTAAGATCTCTTGAAATCCTCCCAGTTTCAACAGGATAAGCTACTGCTTTTGGCAATATTATTTCCTATTTCTTTCACACAAGCACTCACATAAAGCATATCAGCCTGTCCTAAAATCTCACTGACTTATCCTTTCATGCTCAGCCAAATTAGGATAAAATTGCATTTAATTGTCTTGTCTTCCCTTGCTGTGTGATCACTGTGCATTTTGTTATTGTTAATAAATACTGATGATTACATTAATTGTCATTACAAACTAACAGTTTTATTTTTGAGAGCCCTGTGTGCTCTTTGTTCTGTGCACAGCCACAAGGTGCAGCTTGTCCCTTCAACATGTGCACCACTGATGGAGACAAAAGGTTTCTGAAGTGACCCCTAGTGACCTGTGACCACTGAACCAAGGCTTTATTGCTCTATGTGATCAGTGTGTATGCTCACACTTGGTCCCCCAAAAAGGTAATTTTATTATTCCTGGCACAGTGACATGAAGAGACACTGAAATGAACAGGCAGCAAAATGTAGTTGAGCCTGTTTAAAGAAGAACTGCACAAATTCATAGTATAATTTAGTTTAATTCAGTTAGTATAATTCAGATAGTATAATTCAGTTTAATTACTGATCAGGCTGTATTTATGCCTGATGAGAAATAGCTTATTAGAATAGCTAAATGTAATTATCTCATCTCTACTCTAGACAGGTCTGCCTGTCCTTGTACAAAAGCCAGCATGTCAGCTCATCTCTGGTATCTGTAATCATGAGCTCTATCCAATCTGCCCAGCAAGCCTTTTAGTGTGTAGAAAATAAGTCTGCATCTTCAGATTATCAGTAGAAATAACTGATTCCATAAAATTCTGTTGCAGTTTCCTTGCTTGAGCACTCGGAGTGGTACTTTCTGGACCCCTCAGCCCATGGTATCAATGAGCCCCACAGAAATAGCTGTTTGTTTTTAACAGCAGTTAGTCCCATCCTACAGGAGCTGTCCAGAGGAAACTGCTCCCTGAATCCCACTTGGAGGGGAGGGCAAGAATTCATTTGTTTTACTCCATCCCATGCAGACAGGACAAGATCTGGGAGCAAAGCATGCAGATTTGACAGGGTGGATGTACTCTGAACAGTTCTGGGGCTTTTTTTTGGGCTTTATGTATACAACTATGATGTGAATTCTCATCTGGTTGACTCAGTCTCTTTTTCCATTTGTGCTAGGTAAGTGCTTCATTTTAATTGTACACAATTCAACAGCTTTGTATCTTCAGAACCAACACAGGAATTTTTGAGCTTTTTATTGGCTTTTTCCCTTTCTTATCCCAAAACTGGCTGTTTATTCTACAGCTCCTAAGGCGCCCTTAGCATCCAAATATTCAGTGCTGTCTTCAGCACCTCTTCTCCTTAGGTGACTCAGAAATTACAGTGCAAGTTGTTATACATTCCTCTCAGGGATATTTAGAGAGATGCCTCAGCTACACAGACTGTAACCAGACCTCAGTCTGTCTGAAAGGCTGCTTCTGTTTGGATCCAATTGTTCTGGTTTATATCCGTCCCTAGGAATGTTTTGTTATCCTTTAATTGTAAACGATGTTCTTGCGTATTTGTAAATGATATTCTTGTAATGTAAATGATATTCTTATGTGTGTTTGCTGTACTTTCTTCTGCTGTAAGTGACATTTTAAGTTCTGCTCTCAAGGTATTAGGGTAGAAACCTCCAGAGCCCTTAAATCACTTGAGTGTACTGAAACATTTCAGCTATTGCAAGCTCTGGATGTTAGCCTTTGCCATTGTGCTGACAATGTCACTTAGAAAAGCCTTGTGGAAAATACCTAAACACACCAGAACTTTAATAAAACTCAGAACAGCATCACCCCACTTCCAAAATTTCAGCAAACTAAAGACTTTGACCACAGGGGCAGGAAATGTGAGATCCTTTCCTTGGAAAAGGCTTCTTTTAATTGTAATATCTCCTTTTAAGAGCATTTCTGATCTGAATTATGTTTGTTCCCATTAAATGACAGCGTGCTTGCTGTGGAGTACTCCAGTGCTTCCATCAAAGGGAGCCTAGAGCAGTTCCATCCAAGGAGCTGCTTCCCACGGGAGAGTCCAGCACAACTTAGGATCTGTTAGAACTGAAAAACTAAAAAATCAAGCAGAAAATATTTTTACTTGACTATAACTGCTCTTTAAACTTACATTTAAACCTTAGCTTCAGGTGGAATTATTGTTTAGGTCTGCTGATACAGCATACATAAAAAAATCTTTTGACAACACCTTCAGGTGCATTGAAAATATTACTTAATTAAAACCACCTAAGTAAATGTCAGCAGTAGCCTCCAAAGCTTCAACATTAAAAAAACCCCCAAAAACAAAACATGCAATTTAAAAAAATCTCTACAACTGCCTCTTCAGGAAAGGATGGTGAAATAATCTTGTACTTTCTAAAATGTTTAATGCAATAGTTTTATTCTTCAGGAAAATGGGCAGGTTCAACCACTCCACATATTTAGTCAGAGATCAAATGTAGATGAAAGCTTCCACTTCAACCTTATTGACATTTAATGAGACAATTTTACAGAGCTGCTGTTCCTTCTCTTATCAGCAGCCTCCTAAATCTCCTGGATTGTTAATGGCTTCTGTGAAGCAAATCAGATCAGCATCTGGTGTCTTGTAAAAACCAGTGCAGCAACATGTGCTGATGCCTGAACAAAATCTCATTTTGAGGTCTGAACGACACAGAAATTTCCTATTCAAACAGCTGCAAATACTTTGTTTCCCTTTTTATCTTTACTCCTCTCATCAGTTTAGTTGGAACCCATGGATCTTGTTCACATTTTGCCTTGAGGATCAGCCTGGAGTGAGGAATGTCCTGGGATGTGGCTGATGCCCTGGAGCTGCAGGGCTTTGCCTTTGGTGCTCCCTTCCTGAATCTTTTCTCATTCCAAGCCCTGAGAGAGCAGGATGGATGTGCCCTCAGCAGGGCCTGGAGTGTCTGGAGATCCAGCCTAGCATTCCCCACAGCCAGCTGCTGGCCTGCCTCAGAGGAAGATGAGAGGTCGCTGTGCATCCTCATGCTCTGTGCACGCCTGCAGTGGAGCCCTGTTCAGCCCAGGGTATTTTCCCTGCTGCTCAGGACACAGAAAGCACAACTCCGTGTGTGTGTCCCCTGAGCACTGCAGATGTGCAGACAGGCTGCTGCATGCAGTGCTGCATGCCACACACAGCTGCATGGGAGCATCCTGTGCTGCAGCCTCTAGCTGAGGGACAGTAGGGAGGGATGGATTGCTGTGGCCATCCTGGGGACACAGCAGAGATCAGAAAACCCTCCCTTAATCAATGGAGAAATAAATATTCCCACTTAGGAATATTTACAGCACGAGTTGGAGGGGAAAGGACAGGAAGCCTCTTCTCACCTGTGCCAACAGCTCAGCTGGGTTCTGTTTGGAATGGGCTGTGGGGAGTGAGGGGAGCTGAGAAACTTCCCACAGCTGGATGGGGATGGACTGGATGAAGAAATTTGCTGTAGTATCACTCCAGGGACAGGAGAGAAGGTATAAACCAAAGGAGGTTTATAAACAAAATAGTAATAAGAGGAACAATCAGCTTTAGAGAGGCTGAAACCATTTGTCAAATCAGCAAGCAGTCTGCTCTGAAAGAAAGAAAAACTAGAGAAAAACCCAGAGGTTCTGGCAATTGTGAATCACCCCCAACCTGCAGTGGTTTGGATGGAGGGTGTTTTGCATCTGTAACTGAATTATCCCACCTGATTCTGGGCTGTGGGACTGTGTTGGGAATATGGATGTGCAGAGCTGGCAGCAGGCACGTGGAGGAGAGACTTAGGTGCACCAAGGACTGTGTGCATAATTCAGAGTCTGAATAATTATCCTGCTGGAGAAATAACCTCCAGAACTCTGCTGCAGGGCTATTTACTCTGCAGCTGTGAAAGCTACACAACTAAGTGGCAGCCCATGAGCAGAACTGTCTGATTCCTCTGACAGCATTAATTGCTGTCACATCATCCTGTGAAACAGTAGGCTCGTGGCTTTGCCTCACAGGTCATCAGAAGAGCACTTCAGTCAACCTAAATATCAGGTGCATTGGTATCAGCTGACATTTCCAAAAAGAGAGTAATTTTCTCGAATTACAAATAGAAGAACTAATAAATGAGAGTAAATTGGGGTTAGAATGGGCATTTCAGGCATTCAGTGTTGGATGGAAGTCAGCATATTTAGATTACCTGCTTGTCAGACCCATGAAGATGAATGTGCTGTGACAACTCCCCTTTGTAAATCCCTGACATGATCATGGTGGCCATATCCTCACATACTTTCATCCATCCTTTTCCAGGCAAAGCACCCCTGCAAACCCACAAGTACATCACTGTCAAGCCAGCAAGCTGAGACAGAGAGAATATTCACCTGCAAAGTCAGCTTGATTCAGTGCTCATCAGACAGCACACAGGTGTTAAAGGTAGGACAATACTCCTAAAATACCTTGTGCTTTATTTAATATACACTATTATATCTTAAAAATGCTATGACACACATGGCAAGAGTTGAGGCAATCTTTTTCTTCCCTTTTCACTTAAACCAGGGAATAATTTTTGACTGAAGAAGCAGCTCTGGCACTTCCTGATGTTTTTCATGTTCCTAATGAACTTCTTTTATTTTCACTCCATCCAAGCAATCTGGTATTGATTTCTACAGAGCAATGTCTTCTTGAAGGACTCTACATATTTGTTATTCTAAAATAGAAAACAACTTATGGATGAGGCAATTTTTCCTTTAATACACTATTCACATAGAAGGCTAACACCTGCTAGGGCACTAAGGACGTGCCAGATTAGGCTCAAGGACCAACCAAGCTATCTCCTAACACTCTGTGCCTACATCTCCACACCTTTTACATGTAAAAGCTTTATTTACATGAAATATAATGTAAATGTATAGGTGCATAAAATTAATGGGACAAGCATTTTTGAATATTAGTTTTAATAGACACCCAGTTCATTTTCTTTGTTATTAATATGCTGGCTAAGTTGGCAAGAAAAGAGCTCTAAGTATTTAGCATTCAGGTTGTCCATTATGTAGGAATCTCATTACTCTATTATGCAAACTTTAGGTACATGATCATGTATTATTTTTCCAAGACCCCAGTACTTTTCTGTACTTTATGGAGGGTGGAGAGCAGATTCTCGATAATGAATAAGTTTCTGTATATCAGAGATTAGTTTCCTTGGCTGCAGAAGTGGACACCATGCAACTTAGCTCTGAATCTGATTCTGTGAAGCTCCACCTGAGAAAAATGGCCTGAATACCTTTGATGCTATGGCAGTGAATAAGTTTAGTAAAAGGAAGGTCTTTACTTCCCACCTGTGAATTCCATTTTTTATGGACTACACTAATTGTAGTGATAAATTTGTTGGTTATAAATTTGCCATCAAAAGCAGCCTTTACCTGTAAACTGACTTTTGATTAGCCATATTTTGTATTAAATAGTCCTATGTACAACCAAGTTCATACGATGAGATAAAATTACACAGCAAAACGCTTTCAGCAATGCTGTGCTTCACCTGAGAGAATGAGCTCTCAACTCTCACTGCAGTCACGACCAGGACATTCACAGGTATGAACCCATTGGTTTTTTTAGTTTTACTCTGTTCCACTTCATCTAATGAGCTTCCAAATGAAACACTTCAATATTCAGATCCCACATTTCTTTTAAAAAAAAAATTATTAAACACAGCAGCCCCAAAAAGAGAGTATAATTGCAAAACTCATCCAAATATCATATTATGTGCATAATTCTTGTTTAGTTTTACTATTATTATGAAGGCCTTTGGTGACTTGGGCTGGTTTGTGGAGTGTTTCAGTTTTGATATCTGTGTTTCTGGCATGGAACATATGTATAAGCTCAACACTAAAATGATTCCTTTATTAAAAATAGCAAATTATTGATTTTATTAAAGCAGATTGGGAGCTGTTTTGGGTTTTGATTTTGTTTGTTTCCCTTGACATAGGCAGGATTGTATCTGTGATTTTTCAGCACAAAAACCATTGTGTTCCTTCAGGCTATATAACCACTCTGAGGTCGATTTCCTCCTGGTGGAGTATTCCAGGACAAGGGAAAGGTACCATTTTTATTGTGCAATACATTGTGCACTTAAAGCCTAGTATGTAAATTAAATATCTGTTATGACAAGGCCTCCACAGTCCAAAAGTGGAGGTCATGCCCAGACCTACCCTCTGACGTTCATTTTTCAAAGGATGATTTAAATAACCCTATGTATATCAAAAGGATCTAGATCCTTAGCAAAAGGAATTCAGAGCAGGCAATGGTAATTTATTTTGAGCAATCAGTCACTGCCCTGCCAATGCCAGCAGAGTTCAGCAGCAGTTTCGTGGGTACAAAAATGGGCTTCATTTTATTTAAGCCCAAAGTATTGCTAACAGCAGTAAGAATTATAGTTCCACTCTGATAATTTAATTTCAAGTGTGCCCAGGTTTTCTAAACCTAGACTTAGTCTCTGCTCCACTGCATCAGATTTACAGTGAGATAAGCTAGTACAATCTTAGGTGGCACAAAAGTGCTGTGGCAGAGTGAAGAACTTGGCCAGAGACCACCTCTTTCCATCTCACTCTCATTTGCTGCTTCACAGCAACATGAACAGCCAGCCTCCATGCTCTGAAAGTGATGAAATTTAGTGCCATAAGGGCTGGCAGAATGGTTTACCACCTCCAAGGTCCCCCAGCCACATTTTTAACCAGGGTATGTCACAAACTCAGGGCTGACTCAAACCCAGTTATTCTCAAAGTTGTCCCAGACCATTCCAGATTTTTCAAAGTTGTGCTGCAGTTGAGATATAAATCTCTGCATGCATTCCCTAGCATTCATTTTCCATGGAAGTCACTGAGACTGGAAAATAGGAAGAATCAGACTTTCTCCCCAGACTTCACTTTCTCCTTGGCTCCTGCCAGCTCCAGACCTCCAGACTGACATGGGAGCAGTCTCTCCCGAGGAATTCTGCTGCCCCTGGTTCTCGCTGACATCAAGAAGTGTTGAGGTATGTGTAAAAAGTTAACATTTCCCCCCTCTGAATCTCCAACAGCACACAAAGTTCAAATGCAGTCCCAACCAGACGTCAGTTGTAAGTTCTCCGTGTCCTTGCTGCAGATATTTCATTTCTAAAAGCAGCCTGTTAATGTCAAACATTTCCATTCTAGCATTCAGAGATTATGAGTTTATTGCAGCAGCTGCAATCTTCCTGTATTTCAAGGGAAATATATTAGGAGACATTTTAAATGCATTTTCCTCTATTAACATAAATCTTGGCATCTTGTGTAATAAAGTCAAATAACAGGGCATAAATTACACCAAAAGTCCTGAAACAATAAAGAAGTCCTAAAGGAAAAATGAAATTAAATTAAGATTCCAGGTTTAAAATTTTGTGTGGGAATGCAATTCCTCACAGCAGGTAGTCCTTCTGCCATCAGCACACAAAAGCTGAGGTGCTACCAATGGGACACAAAGCTTTCTACCAGAAGGCTCTAATCCCTGCAGCCCCACAGTGTGTGGAAAACATGAGTCTCCACTGTCTGCCTGCTTCTTGGTGGCTTCTGCAGAGCAAGTTCCATGGAGACAATAGAAACAGGCTGAAATCTCCATTACAAGATGTTGTTTTTTTTTCCTTATAGGTAGCTATAGCCTAGGATGCTCAAGGCAAATTCAACTTAAACAGCATGTGCTCAAGCACCCTCAACATTGCTTAAACTCTGCAAGGATGATAATTCAGCACGAGAAAACAGAGATGGTAAGTGATTCTTTCATTAATTCAGCATAATTCATAAATATTTTGGGTGATTCCTTCAATTAAAGTACTTGGATTTACACTCCATATTTAGTTAGATTGTTGTTGTGCCCTAATGGCAATTCAGGCTTGTTAGGGACTTATTTATGGAAACTTCCTCTCATTGCTGTGAGACCACAAATGATCTGTTGTATGCTTGATTGTTTCAGAGGCTCTGGTTTACATGACCTTTCTTCTAGCTGCACAGCTAAACTCAACATAGGCTGTGAAAATGCCATGGACATTATTTCAAATAGAAGAAATTTCTGTGCAGCCTTAAGCCCACCCTTCCCCTTTTTTGCCACCTCTTTTGTTCACCCACTCCTCTTCTTTGATTTGATGCCTGTTTCTGTTTAGGAGCCTATCTAATGTTTTATTTATTGACTACATCGTTTCCAAATGAAAGGAGGGAAATCAGAAGAGAAATGTAACTTTAGGAAGCACTGTGTATGAGCTGAGGTCAGTGTAGTAAAGCTCTTGATATAGTAGCAAATCCAGCAACACTTTTTCTGCCAAGGAACAAGTCTTTGTGTGCATGTCAAAGCACCCTCCCACTCCCCCAGAACTTTCTTGCACTCTTAGAAAACTAAACTGAAAACTAAAATGAAGGTAGAGTTCCTGGGGTTGTGCACACCCTGTGCCTGAAAATGCTCTATTTTTGACTCTCATTATTTCTTTCTTTTGGCTTGTTCAAGTGTATTTTTAGTTTTTTCTTCCACGCATAACATTTGATAAGGAGCCAAGTTAGAACAAGGTCTGTGAGGGCTGAAGCTCCAGGTAACCATGCTGGCTTCTGCCAGGGCTCCAGGAGGAAGTGAGGCAGGTGGGACATTGGATTTCTCTCCAAATGTTAAACAGGAATCCTGCTAGAAGGCCAAACATGAGCAAGGTTTCCTGCAGCAGCCCTTTGCACCATCCAGGGATAAATAAAGGGGAGGCACCTGGGGGCTTTTCTCTGGGCCAGGGAGCTGCATCTTCACACGTGCGGCAAAAACCAAAGAAGCTGAGCTCTGAATCCTTCTGCTCACACGGCCCAAGCTGCACCCCAGCCCTGCTGGAAGCAAGTGGTGGGCACTGATGCCACCCCTGCCTCTCTCCTGAGCATCCTGTGCCAGCAAGAGGCTCTGGAGCCACAGCTGATCATGCAGGCTGAGTCAGCAGCCCCAGCACTCTTCTCCCCTCGCCCTTGCACTGCTTCTGTTCAGAGCTGGCTTCTGCACTGAGCAGCTGCCATCGCCCTCAGAATCACTCAGTAGCAAAAGTAGAATCACTTTGCCCACAGTGTGAAAGAAATGGTGACAGTATTTTCCTCTTTTCTACAGGTTTTACCAGGAAATCATTGGAAATGAGGACCCTGAGGTCACCCAGTCCGCTCTGTGACAGTTCAGCTAGAGCTGCTCTTGGCTGGTGTTTATCTTGTGGGTCTGAGGCTCCAGTGATTCCCACAGCAGCCTGTTCCAGGGGTCTGTCATCCTTGCTGTTGGGTGTTTGGCCTTAAGCTCTAACTGAATGCTCCTCACTGCAATTTAAAGACCATTGCTTTGCTTCTGTTGTAAGCACAACTACATCTTAAACATTGGAGAATACTACTTGTTGCTGTCTCAGTCTTCAGGAGCTCCAAGCAGAGTGGAGTGATCACTACAGCTGATACTTGGTTTTAGACACACTGGTATGATATTTTCCCTATTTGCCACAGGCTGATTTGACTCATGGTCACAGCTTCTGATTCATTATACCCCTCAAGTCCTTGCTGGACAGACAGACAACCAGACAACCCCCAGGCTGTGCTCACACCATTAATATCTTCTGCCTGACTGCCAAAATTTCCACTAGTCAGTGTTGTATCACAACCTTTTTCTAAATAGAAGTCAAAGAATAATTCTAAATAGAAGTGAAAGAATATTTTTTTCTTGAAAGAATAGTCATCTTACACTACATTTCCAAATCACCAAGATCATTTTGAATTCTTATTCCACTCTCTGAACACTTGTCCATCCCAGCATAATAACACAAGTATATTTTCCAACCCATCATGAAAATTATCAATTATGTTGCCCCATGTCTGTCAGAGCTCAGGGATTAACAAAGGGTATTTGCACCTTGAGCCATTGTCTCTCTATCCCTGTCTTTCTTCTCTGCCCTGTTCTTCTCTCCTGAATCATTTTCCAAGTAGATCCTCTTTGATACTTTCCTGAGCATGCAGCTCTCCCATAAATAGTTCCTGACTGAACTGGGGAGACTGGCTCTTCATTATTCACTCAAGGCTGAGTGTTTCAATTCTCAAAAAACAATCCCTCATCTCACTGCAGAACACCAAGATACTAAAATTTACTTCAGAATAAATGGAAAAATTCAGAATAAATGGAAAAAATCTTTGGTACTTCAGGTTAAAATCCAGCTGTGATTTCAGGTTTAAAGTTTAGACAACTTCTGCTTTTTCATTCTTCTGAGCATCTTGGTGCATGATGCACTCAGTTGTGTCCAGCACCCAGCATAGCTATATCTTATTTTTATTTATCTGCTTCTTCTGACCACAAAAACAAGCCTGGCCAACATCCCTAGAAAAGGTTGGGTCAAGTTGACTATAATAAGCAAACCTTACAAAGTTAATGCAAATAAGACTTGCAGAGTCTATTGCACTGAGTACCTTAGTGAGTGATCCAAGCTGAGATGAAACTTTCTGGGAATGTGCACTGGGCTAAACCAGAACCAGTTATCCTTGGACCCCCTGTGAGCCTGAAAAGTTAATTCCTAACTTATGTTATTTTTTCTATTCTAGCGAAAGCTTTTGCTTTGAAACTTGGAGTCACACTATGATCCCTGTTTTTATTACTAAGCAAGAAATTTATGACTCTTGGATATAAAGATGAGATGAAAATGTAACCAAACCCATTACAAAGACTCAAAAATATAAATACGAAATACAAGCAATGCTTTTTTTTTTTAAGATACAAGGCAAGTTCCATCAGCTTGTGAAGAAATCCCTTCATTTGAGGTGAAATATAGGTCATGATTTCTGAGTCCTTGGGCTTGGCAGCATGATTTTTGGCCTGTAGTTCAAAATGGAGCTGGCCATCTGCACTTTGGGAATCCATTACTGTTGTCACAATCACACAGGGTATTATAGCAACTGCCCAAAGCAAAACAAAACCAAACCAAAATACTTCAGGATACTATAGCCATTATAACCATCTGCCTATCTATTTATAAACTAGTTTGCTGAGGTACTGCACACATTCTGGAGGCAATAACTTGCCATTCCTGTTTATTTTTGCAGGTGTCCTTGAAGCATGTTTGAAAAAGGCAAAAACAGCACAGGGTTGAGAAGGGGAGAACTTGTTTGCTGCACGGAGTGAGAGAGTAGGTCCTTTCTTCAGAGGCTGAAAAATGATACATCAACTGCAGTGAAGAATTTCTGTAGTTGGTTCAATTCGTTTGACACTTTGGGGGATACTAATTGAGCATTCAATAGCTCAACACTGGGGGAGTGGGGTAAACCAGCCCAGGAAAGCCATCAATTTTGCAGGTGTCCTTGAAGCATGTTTAAAAAAAGCAAAAACAGCAGAGGGTTGAGAAGGGGAGAACTTGTTTGCTGCACGGAGTGAGAGAGTAGGTCCTTTCTTCAGAGGCTGAAAAATGATACATCAACTGCAGTGAAGAATTTCTGTAGTTGGTTCAATTCGTTTGACACTTTGGGGGATACTAATTGAGCATTCAATAGCTCAACACTGGGGGAGTGGGGTAAACCAACTCAGGAAAGCCATCAGCCATGGGGAAACCAATTTGCTCTCTCTAACTTATTGTCCCTGTGTGTCAAAGGTGGTCCCAAGAGATTCTACTTGTTGCTGACACATTCCAGACATCATTTAATTTTCCCACCTCTTTTTAAAAATTATTTCTTTATTTTTAAACTGGCCAAAGCAGGCAAGAGAGTTAAGTACCCAAGGGCAAGAGAGAAATCTTATGAAAGAAATGTTGAGAAGAGAGGCAAGATAGCCAACAAAGGGCAAAAGTGCCAAACCTGCTTGTTTCCACTGCCCTTGGAATACTGTGCTGTCCATGAATATATGTGTGAACAAATAATTAGTGCATCTGCAAAAAGATTATTTACGTGACTGCTCTCTCTGCTGATTGGAAATAGAGCAGCTCTGTTGAACTCATTAGAACTCTGTCTTTGTGGCTGCTGAGCTCACTCCAACACTGAGATAGAGGGTCCTTGGAACACGAAGCTGTGAGATAAATGTTGCTAACCTGCTGGAGGAGTGGGGATGTTCCAGATGCTCCTTGCTCTCCAGCTGTGTTTGAGAAGCTACCAGAAATGAAAGAATTCCAGTAGAAGCAAGACCCTTTCTATTTCTCCTCCAAACCAGAGTTATCTGGCTGTCCCTGAGAGGAACAGTGAAGTCCCTTGACAGGGACAAACACTCTTCACAAAGCAGGTGAGCATGCAGAACAACAGGCATCTCCTAGATGCATTTGTTTTCCTTTCATACAGTTAGAAAGGAAAACACACAATTATCACATTTGCATAAGTCTCTCAGCAGTTTCAAAGACATTGCATCATCTCTTTCTCATTTCCTGCAGGGATATTATTGTCATCTGGAAAATTTAAGTCCACCTGACAAGAAATTTTCTGGTTGAAACTAATAGCAACACAGCAACAGCTTTCAAACATTCTCTGTAGTGCTTGGTTAGGAAGCCAGGATTAAAGATATACTGTGTTTCAGTACTTCACTAAAAGCCTGTAGTTCAATGTTTTAAAGCTTCTAAAATTGTGTGCCAATAGTATCATATCTGTCACTGGCAACAGTATTCATGCTGCCAGTGGCAGAATTCAGCTATGGAGAACTTGCTGTGGTTTTCCTCGTGTTGTGGCAGATCCACAGTAGGTCATAATTTCTCACATACTAGGTATTTTCCCTGAAATTTCAACACATGCAACTCTTCCTCACTTCTTTACAAAGTTTAGCAGGCCTGTCAACACCGTTACCCCAGGATCTCACATTAATTAATTTATCCTCACAGCACTCCTTTGTGAAGTGCCAGATTTTTCAGAGCTCAGACTCAAATTTTTGAGTGCTCAACACCTAAATTGGAGCCAGATTTTCCAAAAAACTGAGTTCTCTTTTAGTTTCTTAAAGAAGGTGCAAATTTTTCAAAGTTTCCAACAACCCTAGCGGCAGTGCCTGCTGCCCAGATTGTGTGAGAAGTCGAGGACTCAGTGTGCTGAACTTCTTCCCTACCTATGAACATTTTGGTGCCTGAAGGGGAGGTGATTTCCTTGTGAAGTCTGGCTGTCAGAGTGGGAGGCTGAGCTCTTTTGAAAACCTGGAGTTCTATTGTAAGGTTATCACTGCTTTGCAGGGGACAAAGTGACAGCTCAGAGCGAGGGCCCAGAGCGATGGAACATTTGTGAAACAGGTGGAAATGAGATCAGGATGCAGGCTGTCAAACCACCCATTTCTGTCCAAGGAGCTGGGCTGGCTTGGGACAAAGTGTTCAGCTCCAGGGAGAGCTGTGTGTCACAGGCTGTGACGTGGGCACGGGCTAAAACACGAGCTCAACAGCATCCTGGTGATGACAGAGCTGCTGCATGAGACACAGGGGATGAGGCAGAGTGAAGCAAGTTCCTGGAAAGCCACAAGATAACGCTTTGCACTCCTCCTACTCGGGGAACTGAGAAATACAGATGTACTATCTGTGCTTGCTTCTCAGAATTAAAGCAGTCTACAAAGGAAAAAAGTGATTTCTAGGGGTTTTTTTTTTAGTTGGTTGTTTTGTTTTGTTTCGTGTTTTTTTGGTTTTGTTTTGTTGGTTTTTTTTTCCCTGCACGAATTACTGTATTTTACTGTCTCTGGCTTACAGCTTGAATGCAATGACCTGTGATGTAGCTTTATCCACTGCAACTCTGTGAGCCCATAAGGTGATTGCAGGTCACCAAAGGCTCCTGCTCAGGACAGCCCCAGGAAGAGAGAAGCCCACAAGTCAGATTGAACAGGCAAGCACAAATACACACTGCTGAATGACACAGGGGAAACAATGCCCTGTGATGTAGATTTATCCAACTGCAACACTGTCAGATTGAACAGGCAAGCACAAATACACACTGCTGAATGACACAGGGGAAGAGAGCAAGAGTGGGAAATAGAAAAACCTCATTCACTCTGTTCACTTATCAGGTTGCCCCATTTTTTTTTGGACTGTGCTAAGTGGCTCCTTCTGAGTCAAACTGGGCTCTGAGGAGAACTCAGGGCTAAGAACCAGTCTTTAAAATCAATTTTGTGTAGCAGCAGAGGCACAGCCACAAAGCCTTGCCAACAGAAAAGTTTAATTACCCTGAGCAGGCACACATCTCAGCTGTTCCACTTCTCCCTCCTGAGTGACCACTCTCAGTGCTCGCTGGGTGAGATCTGAACTCACTGTTTCTCAGGGAGCAGCCACACCTGAGGCTGAGAAGCCCCCACAGTCATGCCCAAAGCAGTGGTTTTGGTGGCACAGGAGTTTGGCTCAAAGGACAGACTGTACAAAACACTTACTGTTAAGATAGAGAATCCTCCCCCACTTCGAGAATGTAGGCAGAGGTAATTTTCAAGTATTCCTGTTTAAGCTCTGGTGACTGTTAGGCGCTACATTTTTTACTTCTAACAAAAGTGTCTCAGTTTTTAAGGGTCCAGAGGAAGACGGCAAAGACCACAGCCACAGATGTGGCAATCACCAACAGTGCAGGTAGAGAGTGCTGGTTGCTCATCCCCTGTAAAAGCAGCTGAAGCAAGTTTCAAGGTGGGCCTGGGTTCTCAAACCCAAGGTACTTCACAGTTTCCTATCAT